CCAAACACTAAATTTTTCATGTTCCTTTTTCTGAAGCTAGCCTGGCTGATCCTTGCACAACTAAGGAAGGTGTCAGATCAGAGGTGCCTCTGCTGATAGCAGTGATGTCTAGTAGAAGACTGGACTAAAGGCCCTAGTGCCTACCAGTTAGAGAGAGCCTGAAGTGCTGCATTCATGTAGCAGGAGTTCCCAAGATTTTTCATTCCAGTAAGGCCTAAAGCACAAACAAGAGAAGCATGAAACACTTTCCAGAAGTGCTGCTTTCTGTATTCTTTCCCAAAGGAGAAATGATGTGACCCTTTCTGGGCTCTGCACTCTGCTGCTAGGATCCTCTCAGTGCAGGTCCTACAGATTGCAGAGTTACCCTCACAGCTCTTCCATCAACTTGATGCAGGGTTACCTCTTGGTTTCAAGTCATCATCCTCTGATTCGGATTCGCCTTCATCAGCCACTGCAATTGGAACAGCTTTCAAAGGGTGAGCAGGCAACGGAGAATCCTAAATTAAAGACAGAAAATAACCATCAGCAAGAGTCCTGCTTCAAAAGTTGAGCTGTGAGAAATATCTTAGATGTAAACTTAGCCAGCCTTTAAAAGGGCACACTCAGAAGAGAAGAACCAGTTGTACTGCCTGTCCTTCTCAGTAATGCATGCAGGGAATGGAAATGGCACCCCTGTTGCTTCCAGTATTAATGATGAAAGAGGCACTGGGAACATGGGAACATGCAGCAGTGTTACAAGTACACACGTGTGGAGACTGACAGCTGATTTTTTATTTTAAATGAAGCTGTCACAGCTGTTGTGGCTCCTCCCAGAAACAGAGACCCCCCAGAAGAAGCCAGGAGAGGTTAAAGAAAAAAATCAACATGGATATTCAAGTCAATGGAAGCCTTCCTGCAGGGAGATTCTGCAAGGCAAAGCTGCTGGTCCTCCGACCACAGGCAGCCACCTTCAGTGAAAGAGTTCCTGACGTGACAGCAGCCTGGGCAACAGTGGAAATTTCTTGGCTAATTTTGCAACAAGGAAACACAAAGTTTGCCAAGCATTCAGCCTTCCAGGCTGCCACACACCCCCTGGTTCACTGAACTTTACCGAGGGCGACTGCGTGTGCGCTGCCAGCCGCTGGTCCAGGAACACCTCCTTCTCACAGGCGTAACACCAGACCCGAAAAGTGGTCAGATTCACTGTCAGGTTGTGCTTTTTGGCCTAGAAATTAAAAGGATGAGATAATGATTTGACAGCTGGGTGAACTCGAAGCACACAACAACCGAATTTGGGCAGAAAAGGATTAAGTAATGGGAATAATTCAGCCCTCTCTGTCTTAAGATGGACAGTAGTGAAATGCTTACCTGTGCATGAAGGGTGCTGTGGTCAGCAAAGGACTCCCCACAGCCAACGTAAGGACAGCCAATCTGGTGAGAGAAAGAGCAAAACTACAATGGCACACGAAATGAAACCCTTCACAAAATGGGTGCAGCCCCAACCCCACCAACAACTGCAGCTTCAGAACTGATCTTGCCATTCTTCTCAACTGCTTTTCCTTCCAGGGCTCAGAATAAGACAGATAACTGGAACTGATGAATTTAAGAAAGAAAACCCAAAATCAGGTTTGCACCCACGTAATTCCCCATTCCAAGCTAACTGCTCCAACAGGCTCATCTGACCAGACTCCAAAAGTCTGGGTACTCCAATGTCAAAGCAAACTGCCTCTGCCCACCAAATGCCCTTTGTTGATCCTTTCTGCCCCACTGCCCCAAACACCATCCTCAGAGATCTCACACTTGCAGCTTCTCTTTGCAGCTGCCTGCAGAGGCACCCAATGCAGGGCATTCCTACCGTGGCTATCAGGGAAAAATCAGCTGTGAAAAGAGCACTGTTACACCATGATATATTCTGACAGCATTAGCTTTTAATTTATGGAGACTTTTTCTTGGAATCCATCAAAAAGCAGTGGATATTTCTATTGTGTACACCCAGCTTTGCTTCCATCTCTTCTTTTCTGGTCCAATACATTTTTGAATATGTTGAACAGAAGTCCCACCATATCATCCACACAAGCAGCAAGCCGTTCTTACCTGAAGACAAGCCCAGAGATTTGGTCCCACAGCTCCACATGACTGGCAAGTTCCCTGAATATTCATGATTAAAAAAAAAAAGGTTTGTTTGCAAGTCTGCTTTTTAAGTAACCCTATCCTTCAAGAGCGAGAAACCCCTCTATGTGGCAGGCCTCCCCTGCCTGCAGCTCAAACCATTCCTTAAATCCATGCTTCCAATGACACACTTTGCAGTGTGTTAGATAAGTGACATGTTTGAGCAGGATAAAACGTCAGTGAGAAATGCACCAGATGGAACTGACAAAGGCTCACTTGATGGGCCGTGTGCAAGGTACAACAACGGTGGAAAAAGAGTTTCTGCCTCTTCTGTACAGTGATTGGCAGCGTCTTCTATGAAGAGCAAGCATGCAGAAGCATGTACAGCAGCAAAAAGGGAAGGGGCTGATAACCAGAACACCCTGTACCTTGGATTTGAGCAGCAGATCATCCCTGGTCACCTCTCCTATGGAATCCAGGTGAGGGCAAATGTCTCTTGTATCCTCCATTCTCACTGCAGGAAGGTGTTGTCCTGGGACAAGAAAGGACAGTCCTGTTTTGTTACAGTCAGAACTGCTCTCACAGACAGCAAGAAGATAAATTAGCCTAGTTTTTATATCAGCAAATCAGAAATTAAGATGTAAGGTTCAAAGAGATCAAATCACATCTACGTGTGATGCAGTGCTCTCAGCTCACAGTTCCATCCTGTTGCTGACTGGCAGTGTTTGGTACCTCAGCAGTGAGCAGGACGACGCTCAGCCAGACCCAAAACCCACACCTGACCTCCTAGAAACTGGGTTGTAAAATGGTGGGGAAACAAATGTGGTGATCTGAACTTCATTCCTCTTGCCAAACATAAACACGCAGCACAAAGAGATGCAGATCTAATTAACTTGGTTGCATGAAACTTAGATTAAAAGCAAAAGGGCGCAGCAGCCCAGGACAAGTACCTGGCATCTGGGGGCATTAAAAACATGACTGCTGTTTAAATGAAGCTGCACAAGAGGGAATTGGACTTAGAAGATCTCTAACTGATAAACCATCTTCAGTCTCTGAGGAATTTATCATTCAATAGGTGGGTTTTGAACAACTCTCAAAGACCGATGGAGCTGTTCTGCACAGCACTGCAGGCACAGAGGATTTCTCAGCTGCATGCTTATGAGCACCACAGACACTTTCATGGTGCTCCACGGGTGTGTTAAAGACTTCAGACATGCCTCAGTAATATGCAGATGTAAAAAGAAGATGAAAAGATCATTCTCCTAAACGTAGCTCAAGTAACCTCGCTTGGGGCTGTTAAAATGAAAAGGGGGGAAAATAAAGTAGAAGTGATATTAACAGCACAGACTGGGATCCACACTATTGCTATTGGCTGGAAGGGAAAAAGGTGTGAAAAGCTCAAATCACTACAAAAACGAGACCCAAAATTCGGATGAACTTAGGAAGTTAACAACTCCAGGAGCACAGCCTCTGCTCTCTGCTGTTTTCTTATTTCATTAAAAAGAATTTCCAGTGCTACCTGATCCAAATCACTGGCAGCAGGAGAATAATAATAATAACAAAGGGGATAAACACATAAACCATTGCAGCAACTCTTATCCTGGGAGCTGAAAAGCTTGCCTAGCACAAGACAAATCCCACAGATACTTTTATAACAGCATCTCTGCAGCACTCCTGAACTGAAAGAGCAAAGAAGAACTGGAAGGAATCACATTTCTGTACTGCAAACACAGCAGTGACTGCAGGCAGCATCCCAGCAGCCTGGGATGAGCCGCTTAAGAGCAACTGGGAGAGCTCAGGAGCTTCACGGAGAAACGAAACGCTGCCACGTAACACACAGGGATTTAGAAGCCAAGTGCCAAGAGCGCAGTGCTGTGACTGACGCACAGAACTGGGGCACTTTCAGGCTCCGTGTTCCTTCATCAGAATGGGCTCCTTTTCGCAGACACAACAGCAGACCCAACTCTAAAACAAACCACCTATCCATGCTGTTTCTGCTCTTCCGGCTTCTCCCATTTCCTCACTCCCCTTCCTTCCCTCCCCCAGAAAATCGAATGAACAAAACCTTGTTTTAAAACTCCGGACCGCTTCAGCTCCCCCACCTGAGCCAAACGGGGGTTTTGTATTCAGAGCGCACAGCACGGCCTTACGGACTGTTACAGCCCCCTACCCGAGACCAGCACTGCGCCTCTCAGCCAGCCCGTGCCGGGATGCTGATGCTCCCACCCCGAGTTTGTTTTTATAAATAAAACGAAAAGCGTCACTTTCACCTCCCAGCCACAACGGAGCGCATCAGGAGCGTTCAGCGCAGGCCTTAGGGCCGCGATGCTCCCAAGCGCAGCTCAGGAAACTCGGAGTTACACAATAAATCCCCGACGGAGCGCTGAGCTCCGCCGTCAAAAAACCCCGGCATGCGATGGGAGCGCAGCGCCCGCAGCGCCGTGGGTCCGCCCGTCCGTCCCGCCGGTCATCCGTATGGGACAGCAGCCCGCCCCGCCCCGCAGCCCCGCCAGCTCCCACCGCCTCCCGCTGCTCGGTTCTTCGCTCCCTACCCGCACCGCAGCCCTCAGCCGCCGCCGTTACACGGAGGGCCGCAGAGCGCAGCGCAGCCCACCCCGGGGCCTACGGGCAGCGCGGAGCGCGGAGCGGACCGCCGTGACACGCGGCTATTGCGGGGGACGCCGATCCCCGGGCCACCCCTCTCACCTGCGGGGCCCGACCCCACCGGGGGCTGAGCGCTTGGGAGACCGCGCCCGGCGCTGCGGGAGGCGGCGGTGGGGCAAGCGGAGCCGCGGGCGCCGGGCGGGCCGGGGGCGGGGCGGGGCGGGGCGGTCCTCGGCTCCTGGCTGCGCCGCCGGAAGTGCCGGGTGCCAGGCCACGGGAACAGCGTCGGCGCGGAAGGGTGACGTCATCATCCCGCGACGCGAGCGAGAGGAGCGAGAGGGGTCTGATGGCGGCCTGCAGGGCCTTTCGGCGGCGCAGGGAGGAGCCCGAGGAGGACGAGGAGGACGAGCAGCTAGCCGAGGAGGTCAGGTGAGCACAGGGGACGGGGCCTGCGGGGCTGCGTGGCGCTGCCAAGCACCGCTCCGTGCCCTGCGTTCTTTCCTCAGCTGACGAAGCTGTGCAGGAGCGATGCAGGGCAGGAGCTGCCTTGTGTACTTCTGCTTTAATAGGTGGGTTGCTTAAGTGTGGTACAAGAGGAAATGCTTACTTAACCTCCGACCAGAAAAGAAGGCACTGATATGGAGAAACGTAGGGCAAAACCACTGTAGAAGGTTTGGTGTTAACTGCAGGAAATTAAGCAAGGTGAATTAAAGGAAACCGGGGCACTGAGCACTAAGGCCACTGGTTTGGGTTTTTTTCTTCAGGTTGAAACTCGAGGAAGCCAAAGAAGTGCAGAGCCTCAGGAAGCGACCCAACGGGGTGAGGTAAGGGGTGTGAAGGTGTGTTCTATCTGGCAGTGTCGTGCAGCAGCATGTTCCTCTGTTGGCACCCACCTGCTTTATGTAGAAGTAGTTCCATGTCCCATAGTGCCAGAGGTGTATTTGTGGCACAGGAGTTTGTGTCAAAGTCTGAAGATGGAGTGGGGGGTGAGTCAGGTGCAGGAACATGGGAACGTGGTGCCAGCCTGCAGAGTCTGTGCTGTTGTCCTAACTGTGGAAAAAAAAAAAAAAGACTCAGAATTTATCATGAGATGTATTGAGTCAGATTGGTTCCGTACTGTACATATAGCAGAGCAGTTGGTTTACTTTGGGCCCTTTCATATCTTCTCCCTAATTTCCTTCTCTCTCATATAGCAACTAGCAGTAGTTGAAACGTGACCAGCAGCCAGCTTCATTTCTTACTTAGGTGATTCATTGCAAGGCACTAAAATCCCTCTGCCTGAACTTCTCATAGTTCCCCTGCCTGTAGGGAGGGATTGGGAAAATTGTCAGTATAGTATTAATACAAGTGTTTGAGACCTGATAGATCTAGAGAAGGGTAAAGAAAGACAGCATTGTTGGTAATGCATTTCCTTCTACTGAATTTTGTTTCTTTCTTTATGGCTAACTAGTGCTGTAGCTCTGCTTGTGGGAGAGAAGCTGCAAGAAGAGGCAACACTTGTGGTAAGTGCTCAGTATTTTCATCACTTTATTGCTAAGATGAAAGGATGTGAAAACTTTGGTGTGCTCCAACTGATCACTGTAGCAGTAAGATTTCTTACAGCCTAATGCTTCTTCTCCACTTTTATCCACATTTTGAAGATTAGCATTAAACTAAAGGGGAGTTTCGTGGTTTTGTATTTTATCTTGCTACAGGATGACCCTTTTAAGATAAAATCTGGGGGGATGGTGGACATGAAGAAACTGAAAGAACGTGGCAAGGACAGGTGAGTGCATATGAGCTCTAAAGATCTTTCCCTGGACTAGAAGTAAGTCACAGCTAGCAATAAATTAACCAAGAATTGTACTGCTTTGAAGAATTTAATATATTGCAGTTTCACTGGCTGCTTGTCAAATTAGTTAAACAAAAAAACAACTGCAACAGTGTGGTTTTCATTTAGGATTAATGAAGAGGAAGATCTGAACTTGGGAACTTCCTTCTCAGCTGAAACCAACAGGCGGGATGAGGATGCTGACATGTAAGTCGAGCTGGAGTTTGATGTTGAATTCTGGGTTGGGTGTCCTCTCTATTTATTTATTTTATCTTGGATACTGAATGTCTCAGAACATCTCCTTGATTCTCACCTGCTTTTTCACCTTCTGGCTGCCAGACCTGAGAAGGCATTTTCATGAACAAAGTTGGGAGGTGCCAGTGGGGTAGCATTAAATACCAGCAGCAGCCTTCCTTGATGGCTATGGAAGAGCCTGGAAGACCTTGATCTGAGTTGTAAATATCTTGTTTTATGCTCTTGATGTTAGCTGACTGCTTTTGGAGAAATTATTCATGTCTCTCTTAGCCATTGGGAGAGTGATGCAGCTGTGTTCAGCAATTAGGACCGAGTACAGAAAACAGAACTCAATACCACATATCCCTCGTGGATTATTCTTTAGGATGAAGTACATTGAGACAGAGCTGAAGAAGAGAAAAGGAATTGTGGAGAATGAAGAACAGAAGGTGAAGCTTAAGAACGCTGAGGACTCTCTGTATGAGCTGCCAGAGAACATCCGTGTCTCCTCTGCCAAGAAGACTGAAGAGATGCTGTCCAACCAGATGCTGAGTGGCATTCCTGAGGTGGACCTGGGAATTGAGTATGTTGTTCACAAATCTGTTAGTGATGGCCTGAGTTACAGGGATGAGGGCTGTGATTGGAAGCTGCTGATCGGCCGAGCGCCGGTGTGGCTGCATTATATGACCCCCATTTGGCTCTGTGATGGGATTCAGTCTTGGTCTGGGTTGGTGGGGTGTTTAGCACTGCATGTTAAATTAAACACAGCAACAGGATTCCAGTGCAGCGTGACAGCATGACCTCTGGGAAGAGGCACTCGCATTTTTGTTACTGCAGTCAACAGCTCCCTGGAGTTTATCCATATCTGTCGTGCATTAGAATAGGATGTGTGAAAGATGCTAGCTTCACTTTTATCTTTTCAACAAACCATGTAAGCATCAAAGTTTCTGTAGCCCTGCTACCTCTCAAAAAAAAATGATGCCAAATACAATACGAGCACTATTACTACATGCAAATCCATTTGTTTCTAACATCTTGTTACTCTTCTTGAATATGAATGAGTTTTTTATTCTTTATTTTTCTTCTAGTGCAAAAATAAAAAACATAATCTCAACTGAAGAGGCCAAGGCCAAGCTGCTGGCAGAGCAGCAGAACAAGAAGAAAGACAGCGAAACTTCCTTTGTTCCCACAAACATGGCTGTTAACTATGTCCAGCACAACAGATGTAAGTCTCATGTGGCTGTCCTGACCCAAGTCTGACCTGCCTCTCTGCTAGAGAAAAGCAGTCAGTTGAGATGGAGTCTGTGCAGGAGAAATTAGTCTGTGTATCAACACAAGCAGCTGTCTGGTTTCTTTCTCTGGGATGCGTGTATTGGCTCCATCTGGTGTGCCTGTTGGTTGGGTTTTTTTTCCCCCAGTCCATCAGCAAAGAGAGGGGCTTATTACTTGTGACCTAACTTTCTGCTCTTGAACTCCCAGTTGACAGTTCCTCATAAATTTCAAGATTTTTTTTCTTTAAGTTATGTCTTGAACGTGTGCTGGAAGTGTCTGCCTTGTCTGTGGTTATAAATGATGGGTTATAATTGAGAGAATCCATTTTGTGGGCTGCCAAAGCAGACAGGTGGTCAAACATACATAGATCTTACTAGACAGGAGATAGGAATTAATTTCCGGGAGAGCCTCTCATACCACAGCCATCTGGAGGAAAGGCAGCCTTCTGCTGTGTCTGACCATACCTACAGGGGTGATGTGGTGTCAGGTTTGTGTTCTGAAGGAAATTAAGAATTTTTGGATGACTTCTGATGAAATAGTGCTTCTGAAACTCGGTGTATCCCATCTTGCATGTATTGATTATCCATAGAAACCAACTACTAGAACACTTGTCGTGAGGTTCTGTTGTTTCTCCTAAAGATCAGTCGTAATAAGTGCCATAGAAATACATCTATATGAAGAATGCAACTCTGATGTTTTCCTTCCTTCAGTTTATCATGAGGAGCTAAATGCACCAGTGAGAAGGAATAAGGAAGAGCCGAAGCCCCGTCCTCTGAGAGTGGGGGATACAGAGAGGCCAGAACCTGAGCGTAAGTTCCTAATCTGAAATGTTTTAAGGGAAGGTACTGGAACACGTTAGGGTCTCATACAGAGATGTAGGTCTCTTTGTGCCTGTACGAGGTCCCCCAGGAAGCCAACTGGATGCAGGATTGTTTAGGGATACCTCTAGGTGGAGTAGCAAAGGTCACAACAGAAATGCATTAACCAAGCTGACTGACAGGGGTTTGCTGAAAGGTGGGGTGGCAAGGGAAGCTAAGTTAGGGAGCACTGACTGCTGAAGAATAAGCTTTCACACAGCAAGGGACTGCGGTTGTGTGGCTTTACAGTTCATAAGGTTGCAGTTAAGGAAATGTCTCGGTTACATCAGGGAAAGGACTGGAAATGTGATCAGTCTCTCTCTCTTCTGAAGGCTCTCCTCCAAATCGCAAACGTCCACCCAATGAAAAAGCAACGGACGATTATCACTATGAGAAATTCAAGAAGATGAATCGGCGATACTGAAGGGTGTGGACTGAGGCCTCTGCAGGAGTGCTTGTTCTCTCTGTCTCTCGTAGAGGATTTTGTGTCAGTGCCGTGAAATGGAGGACGGGAGCATCGCTGCCTCCCCGTGTTGGTGTCACCTGCAGAGCTTTTCTTGTGTTCTTGTGTTCACCTGTTTGCAGGTGATTGTGAACTCTGGTTGGTAAAATCTTGTATATAACTTATTTTCCACTATAAAGCTTATTTTATCATAACATCAGCTTTCTTGGCGAGCATTTTTTCAGCGGGCAGACGAACGTGCTGTTACAGATTCTTTCACCTTCTTAAAAAGCGTGGAGAAAAACAAGTAAGGTATCCTTTAAAAGCAGCAGCGGGAAGGGGGAGCTGAAAGGCAGCAGGTTGGAACGCAGCGTGGGGAGGAGCTGCTTTGTTCCCAAGGCTGCACTGTGCAGAGCTCTGTGCTGGGGGCCAGGGGTGATGTGAAGGAGCCTGAAAGCAAAAGGTGGGACTTAATAAAAACGTTTTGCATTGTAACAGACGTGTTGTTCTTTCTGCAATCGCGGACGGCCTGTTCCTGCAGGCACGGAGGCACACATCGCTCTTTTGATGCCTCTTTCTCCCTTCTTTCGACTGAAGGCGCCACGTTCCGTACTTCGCTATTGGCACAGGAGGACGTCTGTCACCCCCGCCCCACATGGCGGCGCCCAGCCCCGCCTCTGCCCTGGCTCAAGATGGCGGCGGCGGAAGCGGCGCTGCAGGCCGGAAGCGGCGGACCGGAAGCGGCCGGGCCGGCCATGAAGCTGTGGCGGGGAGCGCGGCGGGCGGCTCTGGGCCTGGCACTGCTGCTGCTCCTTGCGCCGCCCACGCGGGCCGTGGAACCCATCAGCCTGGGCTTGGCGATCGCCGGGGCTGCCGCCTCGGCCCTTACCGGCATCATCTCCTACCCGCGGCTCTACTGCTACTTCAGGGAGTGCTGCCTCCAGCGGCACGAGCAGCGCGTCGCCACCGGTACGGGCCGGGCAGGGGGAGCGGGGAGGGGCTGGGCGGCCTGTCGGTTCTGCGCCGGGATGGGGCCGGGGGTTCTGCCCGCCGCTAACGGCTCGGTGTGCTGCGCAGCGCTGCAGGAGAGCCTGGACAGGAGGCTGTTCGGACAGCACCTGGTCAGCAGGGTGGTGGTCAGGGCCGTGCGGGGATTCCTCAGCAACGCCCAGGCCAAGAAGCCGCTGGCGCTGTCCCTGCACGGCTGGACGGGCACCGGCAAGAACTTCGTCAGCAAAATCATCGCAGAGAGCATCTATAAGAGGGGGCTGAAGAGTAACTATGTCCATCAGTTCGTGGCTACGCTGCATTTCCCTCACGCTCACAGCATCAACCTCTACAAGGTAGAAATGGGAGGGCGGTGGTGCTGACGGGGTGCAGTGCATCGTTAGGGTGGGAAATGAGCTGGAAGATCTTGAGAGGATCTCAGAATACAGCACAGCCTTGGTTTGCGTGCTGTGTTTTAAGGAGGACTCATCGTTGTGTTCATTTAATTTGTGAGTGGTCTGAACTGAGGGCTGAATTCAGCTTCTGCCTGTTCCAATGACTACAGGTGGGGTTTCACAGTGTCAGTGTAGTTTTGATGCTGGAGGATGCTTGGACCAAAGCACTGCTGGAAGCACTCGGTTTGCCTCGCAAGGCTCTGCTCCATGTTGCTGTTCTTCCTGGTACTCATCCTTCGTCCTGATGTTCAGCCTTTCCTTTTTGATGGGGTTTCAGGAATATCTTTCTGTTGAGATATCACGCATGTCTCATCCTGTCTCTGGGTATCTTCATTTTTCAGAACCATTTTAAGTGTTATTTTCAACTTTTAGTTGTGTTTCAGTCAAGAAGCCAAGCTATTGCAATAATGCAATTGAAAGGAGTACAAAACACAGAAAGCAGAATTCCTGCCTTCTGTTTTTTTCGACACAAACTCAGCTGCTCCTATTTCTATGGCACTCAGGACCAATTGCAGTCATGGATTCGAGGAAATGTGAGCATCTGTCCCAGGTCAATTTTCATATTTGATGAAATGGACAAAATGCACGCAGGACTCATTGATGCCATCAAGCCATTTCTGGACTATTATGAGCTTCTGGATGGAGTGTCATACCGACAAGCCATCTTCATATTCCTTAGGTAAGGAGCAACTCTCTGGGTTTGCTGTCCTGTGCACACAGTGCCTTTTAAAACTACCTTCATTACAACCTTTGTTTTCTCTTTTCATAGTAATGCAGGAGCTGAAAAGATAACAGAGGTGGCACTCGACTTCTGGAGAAATGGGAAGGCAAGGGAAGATATACAGCTCACAGACATGCAGAACGCACTGTCTGTGTCTGTCTTCAATAACAAAAATAGTGAGTAAAGCTGGGATCGCTTTTGAGGCCGTCAGAGTCCTGTAAAAATGTCAGTCAGCCATCAGTGCACACACTGTATTTCACAGTGGTGGTTTCTGCTTTATGTGGTCTCCAGTTTTTGGCCTCTGGAGCCACAGTGCAATCTGTGGCCAATGGGACAGCTCTTGTGATGAATTAGAGCTAAGGACACCCATTTGCACCTTGTGTGATGTCTGTGGGGGGAATTCTGTGCTGTGCATCTATTGATGTTCTCTTCAGTACTGATGTGCTGAACAGAAAGCAAACAAAGGAAATATAAGGCTGATGCAAGCTCTGGGAAAGGAAAAAAAAGAGCAGGACAAGCTGGTTTGTGAGATCTGGTAACAGGAAAACTAGGATCTTCTCTGGGTGAGAGGTGAAGCTGTGAGACCAGCATCTGGGAGCAGGGCTTAAATGCAGACGTTCAGAAGAGATCCAGCAGACCGAGTTTGTGTGTCTGAGACAATGCAGAAAGTACCTTGAGGCTAATTTTAGATCGACTTGTGCTTTGTGGGGCCCTAAAAACACAGATGGATTCTTCCTGGTTTGTAGATATTCATCCCCTGGCAGTGTTTAACAAGAGGAGCAGTGACCAAGCCCTTCTCTTTCCTTTTATAGGTGGATTTTGGCACAGCACCTTGATTGATAGAAATCTCATTGACTACTTTGTTCCCTTCCTGCCTCTGGAATACAAACATGTGAAAATGTGTGTCAGGGTAGAGGTCGAATCCCGTGGCTATGCTGTGGATGAAGACATTTTAAGCAGAGTAGCAGATGAGATGACCTACTTCCCCCGAGAGGAGAGGATTTATTCAGATAAAGGATGCAAAACTGTGGATGCAAAGCTGGATTATTACTATGACTTATAAGGCTTTATTGCTACAACCTGCAAAGGAGCAAATTTAACTTAATCATGAAGTGGAGAACCCGGGGCATTTCATTTGTAAGCACTTTTTAAAGGAAGGAACATTGTTTTAACTGGTGTGTAAAGAAGCAGCAGCGCCTCTGCGTTTTTATTCTGTCACTGATCACGGCTCCCAGGCACGTCGGCGTCGTGCCATCAAGGTAAGGGAGAGCTGCATTGTGAACTGAGGGCTCTGACGGTGCTGAAGACTTTCTCCCACGTGCTGTGGATCAGCAGAACCCCAGGGCAGGCTGTTGGAAGGAATAGTAGGACTGAGGGTATGGCCAAATTGTAATTGTTTGGGTTCCTGTGGGTGGCCTCTTAGCAATGTAGAGAATCACGATTGAAGTCCCTGTTTGTGAAAGCCTTCAGTGGGCTCGTGAAGAAGCATTCCTCTAATGGCATTACAAGCAGGAGATGTGTATTTTCTCAGCTAGCTTGGCTCCAGCAAAGAGAAGAGCATGTTGTGTAATTAGTATATTGGTATTGCACAGCATTGGAAAGAATATCTTTCTCAAAATAGCCATAAAAATGGGCTTTCTTTGAGTCAGAGTTAAGAATATAAAACTCCTTGGTGTCAACAGAGTTCAGTAGGAGGATTTAGTAGAGAGAGGAAATGAGTTAAGAATCCCTGTCTGTCTCCTCACTGTCACTGATTCCAATTTTGGGTTATTTCTTTAATGGATGAAGTTGCCTACCACGTGCTCTCCTAGCTGTGATCTTCCTAGGAGGAGAGCAGTGTGCTTTGTGCCTGTTGAGCTGGCTCCAGGGAAAGGGTGTGACTTAATGGGAAATGTGTGCAGGTTGATTTTACACCCAGGAACTGGAAAAGAGATTTCTCCTCCCTGGCATAGAGAATTCAGAAGGCAGCTTGCAGGGTTTTCCCTTTTTCCTGTTCTCACAATGCTGTATGCCTTTGAGGTTTGGGATGAAAATGGATCCAAATGCTTATGGAAAAGCTGTGAAATACATCACCTGAAGTTACTGCAGCCTGTCAGGCTTCTTTCTGACTGTGAGCACTGCAAAACCTTCTGCATTCCAGTTTCTTCTCACAATAAATTCTTCCCATCAGAAATGTGTTTCTGAGCTGCCTTCTGCTGTTCTTTGCATTGTGTTCTGATGTTAATTTCTTACCCTGACCCCTCATTGAGAAAGAACACGCAGTGTGGCTGGCAGAAGCCAAGTGAGTGGAGCACCCACGTTTTCAGAAGCAGCATCATGAAGTTTTCCCCGTGAAGAAATTAAAAAAGAAGCAGCTGTGAAGATTTCAACATTGCAGTTCTGCTCTGAAGTTGGGTAACACGCCAATTAACTTATCAGTCCTAGAATTGGTCAGCAAACACATGCTCTGAACTCAGGTACTTATCTTCCCTTGGCTTTATGATCGCAGAAAATGACGAGTTAATGGAAAAAAAGCAGACATGGAAACGATAAACTTTTACTACTGTCTGGTACCTTGTCATCAACAGAAGCAGCTCAGCCAAGCAGAGCTGGAGCTCATCCAGCCTTAAATGTGCTCTTAGCTCTGCTCCATGTGCTACAGCAGCATCACTGGGAGCAGTTGTCAGACACTGTAGCAGTAGTTTATTGTATCATAGCCCTGGGGGGTTTATGGTGAATGGGAGCTTCCTCCCTCCAGAGGATGCAGAAGTGATGTTCAGATTGGGGAGTCTGCTTCCAACACATCTTGTATCCAAAACCATGGAGCTGTCTGGGAGCAGAACCCACTGCCATCAGGCCCTTCTGATCCTGCAGTTATTCCTCCCTCTTAAAGCGTGTGGTTTCAAACAGCTTTTGACCCTGTCTTGCTGTGAAAGGGTACTTTGGGCTGTTCTTTATTAATGTGCCACCTGAAATGGGAGCAGACAGCAGCAGGAGAAATGTCAAACTGGGGGAAAGGTCTGAGCCTGACAGACACAGTGCCTTGACCCGGTGGGAGCAGCTGAGCTGTCCC